GTTTAAAAGATTCTGAATATTTTAGCATATTTCTTGTCAGTCAGTTTTCAACTATGACCAAGTCATATCTAGAATAATCAGGCAAATAAATAACAACGATAACGACAACAACATCAACAGTACACATCCTGGATGCCATCAAAGTAGCTATTATCATCGTTGAATAAAATGGCTCCTCTTCGAAATTTTCTAGAAATTTGCAGCTGCTAGAACGGGGGATGTTCGGACCAGTATTACCCCCACTCATCATTGGAGAATTGAGGTCTATATCACGAGAACTTACATTAATAAAATTGGAATAAAGCACAGTATCCCATCGCTTCAGAAGTCCTCATTGCTTAGCGCTGAAAATATACTCCCAAAGTTATACGGAGAAAACACATAATGTAGAAGATCTGATTGAAAACAAAAACCGCGCGAAATATGTTATTGTTGATATTGTTATTATTATTATTATTATTATTAGTAGTAGTAGTAGTAGTAGTAGTAGCAGTTGTTTTAGTATTTGTAGTAGAAGAAAATAAACCTCTATAATTTACTGATAGAAGGTGAGGTATAACTATTACCCGGTCGAATCATATAAGATTTGGAGAGTGTATCCAATTAAGATATTTTTTATTATTATTATTATTATTATTATTATTATTATTATTTTCTTTGATTTCTGGCGTTTACACATTTCTTTCCGGGTCCCGCCCAAGGACCTAAGAAAGAAAAAAAAAAAAATTACATAGATAAAGCCCTTCGTAAGATGTGGGCTGTACTTGTCAGAACAATTTTTTGTATCTCCTTGAGGCATGGGACTTCCAGGAATCCCTTCAATTAGTCTACTGCAATCTTTTCCAAACAGTCCTAGGGCTCCAACTACAACAGGGGATTGTTGATGTTCCCCATATGCCACATTTTCGAGATTTCTATTTCAAGGTCCTTGTACTTTGACAACTTTTGAATATCTTCAAAGATACATTGCAGTCAGCAGGGACTGCCATGTCAATAAGGAGGCACCGTTTTTGTTTGTGGTCTTTAATAACAATATCTGGCCGGTTGGCCTTGATTGTTCTGTCAGTGTGTGTTGTGTAGTCCCATAGAATTGTAACAGGTCCTATCTCCGTAACCGGGTCTGGGTGGTGTTCATACCACTTCCTTTCAGTTTCCTTCTCGTAGAAGTTGCAGATTTTCCAGTGCAGATATTGGCCCACTCTGTCATGTCGGGTTTTATATTCAGTGGGTGCCAACACCGTACAACCTGATACAAGATGATCAATCGTTTCTGGATATTTATCACAGAATCTGCATTTTGGGCTGACACAATATTTTAGTAAATGTGCTTGATAATTCCTAGTTAGCAAGCATTGGTCCTGCGCAGCAAGGATAAAACCTCCAGTTTCCGCTTTCAACCCTGCACTACGTAGCCACTGATGGGTACGGGTTTTCTCTACGTCAGCTTGTTTGGTACGGGCAGAGTATTGGCCATGAAGCGGTTTATCTTGCCATCGCTTCTGTATCTGGTCGGTTGCATTCGTCTTTGCTGTCTTTTTTAGGTATTTTGCAGTTTCAGCTGGTGTATTGTGCTGTAGTTGCATCCCTACGCCCATTTGAAACTCCATTTTGAATTTGTTGGCTTCTTTCATTACGGAGTAAAGACGCTTACTACTTTCATATTCCTTGACGCATACCATCATCCAGTCTTCTGTAGTTTCCAAATATCTTTGGAGGCCAATTGTTTGTAGTTTTGTAGGACAGTTCTAGTTGAACTAATCCTCTGCCTCCTTCGGATCTGGGCACATACAGACGATCAACATCAGCTTTGGGATGATGCATGCGATAGCAAGGGAAAAGCTTTTTCGTCTTGGCGTCCATTCGCTAAATTTCAGCTATGGTCCAGTTAAGGACATTAAAGCTGTATTGCACCACAGGGACAGCCAATGTGTTTATGGCTGATATCCTATTTTTTGAGTTCAGCTCAGTATTTAGTACCAGACGTACACGCCTGTAGCACTCTTTTCTTATTTTTTTCCTTCATTTGGGTGTGTTGTATGCCATCTCCTTCGCTAATTCCTAGGTACATATAAGCTTCATCATGCTCCAGTTCACTAATCTTTGTGACCCAAATCTAAATCTATTAAGGGTGTTTCTGTAATTTTACCTTTCTTGAATGTTACTTTTGCACATTTATCTAATCCGAAGTCCATACCTATGTCGTCACTGAAGTATTTTACAATATTGAGGAGGCCTTTCAACTCATTGTCGTCTTTGGGAAAGAGTTTGCAATCATCCATGTAGAGTAGGTGATTGATTATATTCTTATTTATTTTGTAACCATAGCTACTGTTGTTCAGTTCATGCGTAAGAGGGATTAAGGATAAACAAAACAGAAGGGGTGACAGAGAGTATCCTTGAAAGATTCCAGGTCGGATATTCAGACAGTTGGATATGGCTAAGGTATAGTTTGGTGTTCCACATTCCCATGCTGTGCTTAAGGAAATTTAATACTACAGGGGAGACTTTGTACATTTCCAAAGTCTTAAGGATCCAAGAATGTGGAACATTATCAAAGGCTTTACGATAATCAATCCACGCTGCACTTAGATTCCTGCGTCGTCTCCTGCAATTTTCCAGGATCATTTTATTTATCAGAAGTTGATCTTTGTAGCTATATGAACCTCTTCGTCAGTACAGACGTGATCAACTTATACGTTGTGGAGAGACATGTTATCGGTCTGTAATTTTTCGGGTCTTCTGTTTCAGTTGTTTTTGGTATGAGGTGTGTAATACTTTCAGTAATCCATTCCGGGATTTTATTGGGATTATTTACAAGCGTTGATAATGTTTTTGCAAGAATTTCATAGGTAGATGAGAGATGATACAGCCAGAAATTGGGCAACTTGTCATTTCCTGGGGATTTCCATTTTTGGGATTTCGTTAGAGCTTGCCTAACATCATCTGTGGATATATTTTCCCATTCTTGCAGAGGTGTATCCTGCAGTCGTTCTTCTTCACGCCGTATCCATTCTGCATTTGGGTTATATAACGATGTAACTATCCTCTGGGACATGCCAATTCAAACTGATAGGGAAATAAAAACAAAAAAGATCTGATGTTACATAAAAAGCAAGAAATTCAGTAAGTGTGTGCTTATTGACTTAGCTGTACCATCTGAAAGAAACCCCACCATGAAAATTATCGAGTAATTGTCCAGATACAAGGACCTGGATATCAACATTAACAGCATGTGGGAAATGAAGACTATCATAGTAATCTCTACTCTGGGCTTCGTGATTAAAGGAATGGGCAACTTTACTCACAGTATCCCAGGTAACATCAACGTTCAAGTTGCCCAGAAATCGCCCGACTAGGAACATCGGATATAGTAAGAAAAGTGATATCAATTAAATGACAATTCGCCTATAGGACCTAAGGACCATAGTTTGGATACGGCTCTACAGGATACAAAGCAGGATACATAACATAAACACACAATAATAATAATAATAATAATAATAATAATGCCTACTAACTAGAAATTACCAAGCACACAGATTGAAAACTTTTGTTGGCCCCAAATGCAGATTCTGTGATAAATATTCAAAAAACCTCTTGTATCAGGTTGCAGTGTTAGCACCAATTGAATATACAATTCGACTGGGACAATATCTACACTGGGAAATATGTACGGGAGGGCAATTGGTATGAACATCACTCAAACCTGCTTATAGATATGGGACCTGTAAAAATTTTATGGGATTTTACAATACTTACAGACAGAACAATCAAAACTAATAGGCCAGACATCGTAAGTAAAGAGCTCAAAAACAGAATGTGCTTTCTTGTTGACATGGTAGTCACTGCTGATTGTAATGTATTTTTGAAGATCTTCAAAAACTCTCAGAATACAAGGATCTTGAAGCGTAAATCTCAGAAATGTGACACATGAAGACATCAGTGATTCCAGTTATAGTTGGAACACTCGGATTGATTGGAAAAGGTTCCCAAAGACTCACTGATAGAATTTTTGGTAACTCATGCCTTAAAGAAATACAAAAAAAAATGGTAGTCACAATTACAGTGTACACATTACGTAGAATGTGTGGGATTTATTTATTTATTTATTTTACAAAAAAATATCACTGGAAAAATGTCATGAAGGCATTTCTGACCTTTGATATTTGTTTGGACCCAGAAGGAAATGTGTATATAACATAAATCAAAGGAAATAATAATAATAATAATAATAATAATAATAATAATTATTATTATTATTATTAGAAGAAGAAGAAAAAAAAAAAAAAAAAAAAAAGAAGAAGAAGAAGAAGAAGAAGAAGAAGAAGAAGAAGAAGAAGAAGAAGGAGATGAAACGGAAGAAGGAGAATAAATTCTGAATGAGGAAAAGGATGAATATTTTTATGGGCTGATTATTCTTCTTCTTCTTCTTCTTCTTCTTATTATTATTATTAAACAAAATAAATAGATGAATATGGAGGCGATTCCTGCTAAAATAATGATGTTGCTTCTGCAAATAAATGAATAGAATCGAAATAAACCATTTGGGAGAAAAAAGGATTGGATTAATGTGTGGCATAAGCAGGATCCAGAGAAAAACAATGATAGAATATGAAGAAATCCCTTTTTTTTTTTTACTAAATTCCACCTTTCTTAAGGGAATACAAAATGTGCTGTAGATATTCTCCTTTTTTTCTCAGAAGTATTTTAAAGAGAAATCCGTTACAAAAGAACATAAAGATTTCTTCTTTCTTTGACTTTTGCCTGTTATTAATTTTTTTATCTATTGTTTTCACAGCTTAATTTTGATGTATATATATATATATTTTTTTTTTCCAGGATGTTGTTCGGTTTCCAGTTTTCCATGAGGCCCGTATTTTTTGGCGGAATTCTTATCTCTCGTTTTTATTTCATTCGAAATCCAATTTTTCACCATTTTCTTGTTTCTTTTCTTACATTTGTTTCTTTCTCTTTCTTGTGATTATAGTCTTGCTATTCAGAACCGTTCATTGTTGAAAATAATTCTTTTTTTTCTTCCTCCTATCCATTTTTTTTTTCGTATTTTCTCTTTCTTCTGACTTCTGTTTTGCCTCTCTTTTTTCTATTCTTTCACAATTCTGTTCTTTCTCTATTCTACCTTTTTATAATTTATACTTGTTCTTTTCTTTATCAATTATCCTTTTCTGTTCCTTCTCTCTTTCCTATCTTTTTCTGTTCTCCGTCACTTATATTCTTCTTCTTCTTCTTCTTCTTCTTCTTCTTCTTCTTCTTCTTCTTCTTCTTCTTCTTCTTCTTCTCGCTTACTTTTTACATTATATTTCTATTCTGTTGTTTTTCTCATATTTTCTCTTATTTCTATCATCTGCTCATTCATTTCTTCTGCTCTTGATCATCTGTTGTTTTTCTTTCTTTTTTCTCCTCGTCTCCTGTCTTTCTCTCCTTTTCTTTTCTTTCTCTCATCTTCTTTACCTGCTTTTCTTTCTTTTTTTAATTCTGATCTTACTCTAATCTTCTGTTCTCCCCTACTTATAGTCAGTCTCTCCTCTTCTTCAATACTTTCTTCTTCTTCTTCTTCTTCTTCTTCTTCTTCTTCTTCCCTTTCTCTCTCTTTTTATATTGTTTTTCTCTCCTTCTTTTTCCTCTCTTCATTTGTTCTCTCGTTACATCTGGTCTTGCTCATCTTCTGTTGCTTTTCTCTTCATTTTTCATTGTCGTCTGTCTTTTCTTCTTCTTCTTCTTCTTCTCTGTTATTTCTCTAGTCGTCGTCTTCTTCTTTTTCTAATGTTTGATACATTTTTGTTATTCATTCGTATTTTTCATTGTTCCTTTTAGTTTTTCTTTCCTTCATTGCATTTCTTCTTTAAGATATTTTTTTCCTACAATCGTCTTCTTCCATTTCTTGTCATTTAACTTTTCCCCTTGTTTCTATTCTTGTTTTCTTTTCTTCTCTTCTATTTCTTCTTACATTAAATTCTCTTTATTTTGTACCGTATAACTTCTTATTTGTTATGAAACTTATTCTGTCAGTCTGCTAAAAAAAATAATTCCCTCTTTCCATTTCTTCTCTCGTTCCTCTTCAAAAACGCCGAATGCATTCTTTTTTATTATATTTTTTAATAGTGCAGAAAATCTAAAATAAAATATACCTTGCTCAATAGCCGAACATGTCAAATGTGTCGTGTGCCATTTATTACTTGACACAAGGTAATTTTCTAGGAAGCGAAAGAGGCGCATTTTCCCAGAAAGTGAATGTAAAAACTGCGTTGTTAAGAATTTTTATAGTATGTCCTTAAGAGAGACAATCGAGACGCCATCCACACTTTTCGTCTTCCCGAGAGAGAACCAGGGAAAAGTGAATCAACGTTTATATGTTTTTGGATGCTAAAATCTGGCAAAGGCTGAATAACTTATTTCATTCCAGGAATTTTTGGCAGGCATCCTCTTTGTCACATTTTTTCTCATATCATTGCTAGGAACAGAAATGTCAAACTACATTTTTTTATTTGAATTAGACTTCATCAATGGGGAGTATAGACATAATTTACCAATATTATAACCAGAAAGGAATGAAAGAGAAAGATATGTCTGAATAGAGTTTATTTATTAGATGTCATACATACCATTCTTATCTACATGTGGTTTTCCAGCACCGAATCTCAATTATCGATAATTTCTACAGATATTTGTTTCGAATTATTTAAATTATTCCCACGGTCGCTGTAATCGTAATTACTTTTTAATACTAATGCTCATCCAATACACGGTTCGAGATATACTCAAGGTAGGGGAAGCTACTGTTAAAGTGGTTCTGATGAATGAGGAATCATATGAATGAAAAAGGTGTTTGGGATTGTAATAGCGAAATGAGACTTTACACAATTTCTGAGTAAACAAGTATCAGAGTGGAACATTCTTAAATTTAAAATACGGAGGAAATGACGGTGAATTGACTTCGTGGATGTGGCATGACCTGTCCTGGCTGCAAAAATCTGAACTGATAGAGTTAGAGAATGGAGCCAATCCGAATATTGGTGATAGATCTGGTGATAAAGATAGATTACTAACAGTCTGGTGATGATGCCTCTTTACAAAACGCCGCTGTGTGTAGAATATGTCACCTCCCTAGAAGATCTCATAAACTATATACACTCTATCAAAACTGGAAATCTAATACTCCATTTTAGTATAATCTTGTACTTGTAAATACAAAGCATGGTAGGGGTTAGGTATTTCTTGGAGGAGATTTGATGGGTATTTGTCTATATTTCTGAGATGAGGTATTATGTACACTATTTACACTATTCGGACTATTGTCCTCATGCTTGTCGGCATATTTATTACAACGTTTCGGCCGTTGTACGCTCCGGCCTTCTTCAGGTGGTTGGAATGTCGAACTGAACCCTTTATTTCGCTCACTGGGCTAGTCGTCAAGGACACATGGCACAGTGGATAAAGGCGTTGGTTAGATCCAGTGAGAGGACCCAAACACTACCCGGTTAAGGCAGTGGAGAACTTGGAGATGGGAATTAACTGATAACTGACACTCATTAAACATGGTACGTAGAAGTAGAACAGTCTACCCCAGTGAGCGAAATAAACAGTTCAGTTCGACGTTCCAACAACCGTAAGAAGACCGGAGCGTACAACGGCCGAAACGTTGTAATAATTATGGCACCAATGAGGAGGACAATAGTCCGAATAAAATAAATAGTGTACAGATTGGATGAGTCTACCATTCTCTAGCATCTTTATTGTCCTTATCAATGGATCATACATCGGAACGAATTTAAATCCAATAGAGTTTCAATCCATGTAGACTCATTGGATGTTCATATCATTTATTGATGATGATGATACCATTATAGCTTGGGTTTTGACCTATTGAAGTTATAAGCCATTTGTTATACCAGTAATATGCCAGAATCAAGTTTTGATAATATTGTAAGTAGAGACCGTGTTTGACTTTGGCTAAAATACATGCATCTGTACACAGGCAATGTCTTTGGGCAATTTACTTAATTAGAAACAGAGAAAGATCTGTACGTATGTTTCACGCATTATAACAATGTGCTTTTGCTTTGAGTATGTCCTATGAGTATCAGACTTTTCAAGGTTTTCTTTCATCATTATCAAAATTTCAACTGGCTCTACATATAATAATCTTCTACGCGTAGTTCAGATGTGGCACAAGACTGAAAGTTTCGGGTCACCTAGTGAGGAACGAACTCACTTTTCAGTCGTAATTGATCTAACAAGACAAGCTTACTAACCATTTCATCGCGTTGAAGTGCTCCACTGGTTCTAGATATGTATAGGTTTATCCATCAATTTTTCTTTTAACTGACAAGTTCAGTATTTTCAGCCTAATTCTTTAGAACCACATAACTCTTTGCCTGAAGATTGTGATTGATTGATTGAATTGTTTTTTATGCTTTATCAACCCTTTCAAGGTTATTTTAAGCCAGAAAATATTTTTAGATTTTAATATTTTTCGGAGAAAATAATGGTTTACAGCTAAATGCCCTACTGATGAACCCATAGCTGGAGAGAAAAAGAATTGTATGAATCCATTTCCAAGTGTTATTTCTGCATTACTGAGTAATTATTTTCTCTGCCCTAGGACGAGATGTGATACAAGGTCTATTTTTAGGTGGGGACCCGTGCGCGTTCACCCGGGACAAGGACAAAAATTCCCCTCAGCGCCCGCAACCGTCGGTTGCGCTGGCCTCGGTGCGAGCACCGATCCCTCCCTCTGGTGTAATGGAAGGGCGCAGCCTAGGGCAGCTGTTCCCCAGGGCTGGGCACCTCTCAGTATTATTTTCTCAGTTGCCCGTCTGTCCTTTGACAAAGAAGCCTCTGAGCGTACTCTGCCCAAAGACAGAGACGCAACTGAGAGATGACCTTACTCAAAATGAGTGATTTACGCATTTGGGCATAAGTCAGTATAAAGAAACCGATTCGAAGTGGAATTAAGAATATAACGAACCCGATTGGAATTGGATCTTTAGATAATTCTGAGATCCTATCCATTATATCACCCACACATCCACGCTTACAGAACCTGGTATTTCCAAAATGTCATATATATACTGACCAAAAGTCAGTCTAGTCTGTGAGGAAAATTGTCAAATACTGATTGCTATATAGAAAGATTGATATTACATTGGACTTTTTCACACTTTTTGTTTTTATAATGATGCTCTGCTGTTTCTTAATATTTTGCTTAGTTTCCGAAAGACATCTTTTTGTCATCTAAATGCACTTTTGGAATTTGGTATCACATTTTCCGACATTTTCATGGTAATTGTTCGTATGATCTCTTCACTATGGTACCTTGTCTTTTTAAGTTTAAACGTAGTACTAGACTGGCTATGAGGTCTCACCAATTTACAATTGAGTTAGCTAGGTGTAACTGTAAATTCTGTGCTAACAGTTTCTTTCTCGCACATCTCACCTGTAAAACTCTCTTCCGGCTTTTCTCTTCCAACTTTAACCTTGAAAAATTTATATGCAATGTCAATCGCTATCTCCGGAGTAGTCTTCTTTTGTTCTCGAAATCTTTTTACACTCAATAACTCTTTGTTCCTAAGTGGCTTTATTGCCTTTCTTGGAATAAAATCGATTAAAAAAAAGAAAACTATATTTATTTTTCCATACTTGTTTGATTATGATATGTACAATTCGAAATATTTTTAAATATCAGGAAAGAATAATGCACAGAAGAAGAAGAAGATACGGTATTCAAAGAATTTCAAATCAGGGTTCGGAACAAAGAGAGTCCATTTTGACAGAAAATGTGTATAGACAAAATGTATGAAAATTGGTAAAACAAGCGTGTGTTTTCTAGTCGAAATTCTTTAAGAAGTACAACGAAATGGTTCTAAGAAGATTAGAAGTCTTAGAAGGATTTATTATTGACGGATGTAATCTTAATAAACATACGATTTATTGATGGCACCGTGTTGATATCCATTTCCGAAGGAAAACTGAAAGACTTATTAGATGAGGTGTTCGATGAAAGGACTAACTATTAAATGTTAATCGAATGCATATTCCTCAAGACGAGATAAAGAAGAGAAGTTGAAGAAAGAAAGAAGAAAATAAGAGAGAATGAAGAGAATGAGAATAAAAAAGAAGGGAAAAAGAAAAAATAGAAGAGAGAAAGAAGATAGAAAGTTGAGAAGAGAGAAAGAAAAGAAGATGCAAGAAAGAAGTAGAAGAGTGAAAAAAAGACGAAGAGAGACAGTATAAAAGAGAAAGAAGTAAGAAAGACATAGAAGAGATAAAGAAGAAGAAGAAGAAGAAGAAGAAGAAGGGGAAAAGAGACAATGAACAGAAGTAGACGGGAAGAAGACGATGAGAAAAAGAGAGAATGAGAAGAGAGAAAGAACAGACTTAGAAGTGAGAAAGAAGAAGAAGAAGAAGAAGAAGAAGAAGAAGAGAGAAAGAACAAAACTAGAAGTGATATAGAAAAAGAGAAAAAGAACAGAAGAAGAGTTAAGAATAGAAGTAGAAGAGAAAGAAGAAGAGGAAGTGGAAGAAGAGAAAGACAAGAAACAGAAGAAAACCAATAGAAAAGGGAAAGAACGGATGAGAAAAAGAACAGGGAAGGAGAGAAGGAAGAAAAGTAAAGAGAACGAAAAAGAGGAGAGAATTAAGGAGGAGTAGGACGAGAAAAGAAAGAAAAACAATAGAAGAAGCGAGAAACAAGAAAAGTAGAAAAGAGAAAGAAGAAGAGAAAAAGAACAGAGAAAGATGGAAAGAATAGAGAAAGAATAGAAGGAGGGCAGTGAAAGAAGAAAAAAAAGATGAGGAAGAGAGCGAGAAGAAAAATAAGAGGAGGAGAGCAAGGACAACATAACGGAGAAAGAACAGAAGACGAGAGAAAAAGGAGGAGGAGAAGGAGAGAGTAAAAAGAAGAAGGCGAGAGAAAAATCAGAAGAGAGAAAGGAAAATGAAGAACAGAAAAAAGAGGGAAAGGATATAAGTAGAAAGAAAAAAAGAAGGGATAGCGAGTAGAAGAAAAGAGAGAAAAAAAGGAGATAGAAATAACATATGTAGAAAAGGAAAAAAGAATTGAAGAGAGTAGTAGTAGAAGAAGAAGAAAAAGAAAAAGAAAAAGAAGAAGAAGAAGAGATAATGAACAGAAGGAATGAGAAAGAACGTTTTCTCTATTTTAGCTCTCCTTTTGAATTGGATTTACTTCATTATTTTTTCATTTATGTTTCAGTTTTCAGCTATCGTCTGTCTTTGTCGCTGCCACCATGGAGTATCACATTGCACAAAGACTGTTTTCGAATTGAGAGCTCAATAGATAGCTTGAATTAGCTGATAAAATATAACGTATGTACTAAAATGTTATGTTCATTTCATGCTATTTAATTGTAGGGATAATATATTCTAAATACCATTACTAGTAAATAAACTATGAATTTATATAAATATTGATGAAATATTTATAGACATTTTTAGAAATAGCAATTGTTCTGATGAACCTTCCCCTGAGACTATGAATTTGAGATTAGTATTATGGTGGCACGGTCTCATCATTTGACCATTGAAATGTCTAGATGTACCCGTAAGTTCTGTGATAAGTTTTTCTTCTATCGCACTTCCTGCTTGTGAAACTCTCTTCCGGTTTCTTGCATCCCAGTCAACTTTAATCTTCTGTCTTCTTAATTCCCGTTATTTTATTACTCTCTCTCTCTCTCTCTCCTTAATAGTGATTTCTTTTCTCATATTCTCTAGCACTCAGTAACCCCCTTACGTCTTAGTGTCTTGTTTACCTTGCTTGGGGTGAAATGTGTGAAACATTATTACCAACTTCATACATCTATCGTCTTAGCGCCAAACCCAAAGTATATAATAAATAGAATTACTAGAGTATAAAGAATGGCATCAGCAGGCAACAAGAATGTGAATCGAGATCCGAGATTACTTACGAGATAGCACGAGATTAGTATAAGGTTCTTTGTTAATACGTCCGTTCCCGAGTGAAGCACAAGTGTAAATCAAGTACAACTTTGATCGGCCATTCACAACAGAATCATTGTGACTAAGTCAGTATAGAGAATGAGTGACAAATACAACATGTCGCTGTACCAAAATATTTCAATTCAGTGTATAAGTAGACATCCGGAATTGTAGTCTGAAAATATCTGCTACAATCTAACCTGGACTTAGTCACCGACAGATACGACATATTTGGAACATTCGATAAGTTCAAACACAATTTGTCAACAAGGATTTATCTTAACCATCGAATAATTATATGGGAGCTAGCGAAATTATATCAATACTATCAACATATATACAAATTAGTTTTATATATCGTGTGGCAACATCACAAGGAATATCTAATCATGTTATTTGGTTTTTAAATACAGTTAACTATGATGTGAAGATTTATAATTAGCTGATATTTTTTAGTTTCTTCTTCATGTCTTTATTACAAGACACTAGTTTTTATGATATTTGACATTCATTGAGTCTATGCTACTGTTTCTTTATCGTCTAGATAAAACAGGTTCTTTAAAAATAGGGTTGCTAGATTGTGCTAAATGTATAAAATGTACTGCTGCTGAAGTCCCAGCTCTGCTAAATTTTGAAATAATTTCTTTTCATTCGGAGCTGAGATTGGGCAAAATTATTTTTATAATTTCTATCTGAAGTACAGGGATGAAGAACTATCATTTTGTCCTCATCTTTCTCCTATTATTTGCTATTGTTATTACAACGTTTCTTGTTTCTTGTTTAACTATTCCTTGGCATAAGGTAGTAATATTCCAATAGATAACCAAATGGAACTGTTTACGTTCTGTGTACATATCACATTCTCCCATCTATAGGGTGAGATATACCAAAGGCTCGGCTATGGGTTCACCGTTGTCAAAAATGGTCAATATCTACATGGAATACTTCCAGGAAATAGTTTAGGGAACTCACCACTGAAGCAATGCCTGATATACATAAATAATACCCTGACATTACGAGGTAGCTGTACAAATACTGCAGGAGCAGTGAACTCAATAAGACCTTTGATCCTGATCCCATTAGAAAAAGAAAATAATAAGCCCCTAATCTTCATTTGTGTATTAATAACTCGCACAGAGAATGGTTTCCAAGTATCACAAGCCAACGTTTACAGAATAATAAATGACCTTCAATATCTGCCATTTGCAGAGTGTGAAGAAAGATAAAGTCCGATGCCTACAACACCGGTCCAGTTACATATGAACCGGAAATGATTAACATCAGGGGTAACTTTCATTATAACAACTACTCTGGAACAATGACAGCCTGATGGTTAAAACAGACGGGTCGAGGAGGAAGACGATCAAATTGTCACAGTCTGTATGACTTACGTCAAAAGCTTATTGGAAAACATACAGTATACATCAACTGGACAATATTCAGAAGCAGCTACACGCTGTCGAATAACGACAAAAAGGGGGTGGATATTCATCAATCCCTATGGAATGAATTGAATGAACATCAAAAAACCTTGAGACTATGAAATCAGGCAAGGCTGATCATTTATGGAGGATATTCTTCAGCCCCTGTGGAATGAATTGAAATACTAAGCAAGGAAGAAGACTGGAGAGGTAGATGTCTGAAGTAATTATGGCGCATGCTACACTATAAGAATCCCCTTAGAAGGCCTAGCATGGACACAAATACGATATGGGCGCCGCTAATAAAGAAAAAACAAATGTCAGCAGGTTGTCATCAGCAACAACAACAGCAGCAGCAGCAGCAGCAGTCGCAAGTATAACAGAACAAAAAGCTTCTTTGAATGCGGTCAAGCATGACAAGAAGGAGTAACACTCATTAGCAGTCAGATTAGCTTTAAGTCTCCAAGTTCTGTACAGACAATTGTCCCACAGCAAAATAACCTAGGATAGTAAGTGTTGCGTTGTGAATATATATTTGTGATATAGTTATTGTGATGTCAAACAATGGTGTGTGTACTTTAACTCACTGGAGATTAAGCATCCCCAGACATGTGTAGAACGAGTTAGTCTATACCCGTATATTAAATAAAGGGTTTAATTTTCGATTCCCCGTAGATTATCCTGATCAACATGGCCCTTATGAAGAGTGCACAACGACTATATGTTGTTATAACAAAAACATAGATGAGGACAATATTCACTACGTACAGAGTGAAAATAATTAGATTTGTAAGTATCATACAAAAACGCAATTAGTGCAATTAAAAATTTGATAATGACGGGAAACTGTTAGGAGTTCACGCTAATCAAAAACCTTTCAGGGGTGAGAGAGGTAGAGAGAGATAGAAAGAGAGATAGAGATAGAGACAGTGATAGAAAGAGAGATAGAGAGATAGAGATAGAAAGAGAGACACAGAGAGAGAGAGAGAGAGAGAGAGAGAGTAAAAAATGTTTTTCAGTTTTGATATAATTCCTGCAATTGTAGGCTCTGCAAGCTCAACATAAAATTCGTTATACAATCTGCAAGCAGTTTACTGCAGCCATTTAGTAGTTCAGAGCAAGACGAAACAAATCACCAACTGCTTAATGACTTTTGTCTAAAAAAAAAACAAAATCAACGAATAGTAAGGACTAAAACGTAGAGTGCTCAATACCCTAAGTAGATCGATAAATTAGAATAAATCCTAAAGAGCCAGGCGAACTCAGCTAGGTTTCACCTAAACGGATCTAGAGGGTAAACCGGCTAAAACAGTAAATGACGGAACAGAATTTATTGATAAAAAATAAATACTGTTCCGTCATTTACTTTTTAGCTAGTTTATCTTGAAGATCCATTTAGGTGAAACCTAGGTAGGTTTGCCTGGTTCCTTAGGATTTATCCTAGTTTATATATATATATATATATATATATATATATATATATATATATATATATTGATAATTATTTCACCCCAGCAAGGTGTCACATCCACTAATAGTCAAGAAGGTACTTAGAGTGAAAGTATTAAGGACAATAAAAACAAGATTACAAAAGACAGATGACGACTGGCGTCGCGTTTCAATTTTTTAAGATCGTAGTTGAGAGAAAAAAGGAAGCTGTAGAGACCCGTAATTGTTTAGATCCTGGATGGACATGATATTTAAGGAAGACGTTTCGAAACCTATCTTTATCCTTCAGAGTAAAAAAAAGAACCGCTTAAAGAAAAGGAATACAAAGAACAAGAAAAAGAAAAAAAGAAAAAAGAAAAACAAGCAAAAGAAGAAAAAAAAAGGAGATGAAGAGGACAAAAAAATGCTAACATTGTATATCCACCTTTATTTTCAGCCGACTGCGACAGAGGAATTTCATTCTATCGTAAGGACATATAAATAGTGTGGAATCATAGGAACAGAATGGAAAAATATGTTTTAATAATCAAAAATATACTTATTCATAACTGAAGGAAAAAATATAAACCTCTATTAAAAGTTTTGCCTGACTGAATATAAAAGTTTATTTTTCTTCTTTCGCATGATCTCTTCTTCCATTTCCAAATTATTCTTACTCTTATTTTTCAAGTTTAATTCCTGTTCCTGCTTTTATTCTTGTTATAGAAAGTCAAAGTTAAATAGAAAACATAGACTGATATGTATCAGGGTCACAATTTAGTAATAGTTATCCACCCAGTCAGTCATTTATGTGCCATGTGTGATACACGCTTAGGCGATCATGACTGACGAGGTAGATTTTTTTTTTCAAGCAGCAGACTGCCATTTCTTTCTGCGGTTCACCAGTTGCCATCCAATGCTATAAAACTCGTCCTGCCATTTACCCATAGCTGGTGGGGGGGGGGAGAAGAGCGTTCATACTTTTTCCAAGTGTATTAGTACCTAAGTGAATAAAATAGATTTGAATGTAATTCGAACTCGGCTCTCCGATTCTTCAATCCGAGCCGCTAGCCATTATCACACCGTGCCTCACAACAATGTCAAATCCGTGAAATCATGAACATAGGTTTCTTTATGAAGAATCATTTCTGAACTATTTCCATGCAAGAATGTCAAATATGTGTTCATCTGTGGTGGTATTGAAATTATTATTATTATTATTATTATTATTATTATTATTATTATTATTATTATTATTATTATTCAATGTCCCGATCATGCCTCCCACAATCTCCTATTACTTCTAGCCATAAAAATATGTTTTTTTTTAAACCTTTGACAGGTCTATCAAGCCACGTTTCGCCATCCATTCATAAAAACTCTTCAGCTAGATGGCTTCTCCTGTAGCTTTTGCTTTCGGAATATAATGTCAGTGTCAAATTCTCCAAGCCCTCTTTCTTCATTATATGACCAAGAAATTTAATCTGTCTTGTTCTAATTTTGAGCATCAGTGTTATATTTGCTTCGTTGCTTAGGTGCCCTGTCAATGGTATTCCCATCATTCCACCAATTCTGAGTTTCCAGGTTTCTGTTCAATTGTGAGGAGATTGTCCACGATATAGAACAGGCTTGACATTACATAACTGTTCAACACTTTTTTGTTTCTTTCGAATAAAATATTCCGGTTACTTAGTTATTAGCTTATCTTGTGAAATACATATTTCACTATTCAAGTCTTCGGCTTTCGGTGTCAGATTTTCCATTCTCTGTTAAAACCCTTCCCACCTATTTAAACTTTAGGACTTGTTCGAATTTAATCCCATCTCCCCACAATTCGTAATTCATCTATTTGCTCCAAGCACATGATAACTATTTCTTTCTTCTTGTTTTTCTTTCCTACTTTGTCTAGAAGGTAATTGAAGCTTGAAGCGTCGTTTTGGGATCATGGTCCTCCTAGACAATGTAAGAAGGAAAAACAAGAAGAAATCAGTTGAAGATATCCCCTGGAAAACCGTTGCAGCAAATTGAACTTCCTGGGGTTGGAACATCCGGGGGGGTAGTTTCTTATCACATTGTCAACATGAAGAGGATTTGCAATGCGCTGCCAGAAGGGCCTGACTCATCCAGCCGCGTCAACCACACACACTCCCGTCTAACTCCTGATCCCTACCCTTCAAGAGAACGCTGGTCCTTCATAGCCATCTCCGACACCAGAGCTGAGAAAAAGATTAAAATAAGAGGATGGCGATCCGGACGATCCAACGGGAGAGGGTGACGATAATGGAAGATTCTGTACTTTAACCTTAAATTGTTAAGATCGAAGCCATTAACTGATTCCTAATCGAAGAAAATCGAGATACTTGATCATAAAAAATAAAATCCTTTTGAAACTTGCATTTTGAAGAAAAAAGAAAAAAATTATTATAACTATTTTACCTATGTCAAAACTGATATACTTTTATTCTGTTTATTTTTACTTCTAGAGTAATTTTTCCCAGTATATTAGTATAGTATATCATACTGTTGTCATTTCAGCTTTTCTATAAGGTTGCGAAACCTAAACACTAAATCATCGCGACATCTAAATGTTATAAGGCTTTACCCAGAAAAAAAAGCCTCGTTCAATCTTAAACATCAACTGGAATTACTATGTGACCAACACGAAGGTTTCCAAAACAGCCACCAATTAAAGCATCGGATTGCTGATCATTAAACATCAGCTTTGATAATCAGGGCATGTAGCAACAAATAGAAGAGTCAAGGTTTACACGTTATGTCTTATTCAGTAAGCACAATTCAGGAAAAACACCACGTTGTTGCCGGTTTTGAAGCTACCAGGACACTCAAAAACACCGAAAGTTATTGGACTTGAACCTAAATCGTTTCAAACACATTCACAAGACCAACTACAGATGTTCTATCACCATTGGAATCAAACATTTGAGACCGTTAGGAAGAGAAAATGAAGAAGTCAAACGACAAAATCGACCTCATCATGCACCGACATTATAATGCATTTAATGCCAGCAGCACTTCCATTCAAGACTTGTTCTATTTAGTCATTATGGGCATCATCATTAAAGAAGAAATTAAATCATTAGATACGAGATGAAGCCAACAACGAGGACGACTATAGTGACCAATCAATTGTTACCTCTAATTCCATTACCATGTACTCTTTTTTCTGTCTCTAGTTAAACAAAATTCATTCAAAATATTCAGGTTATTAAATTCAATGTACAGACTCATACGGGGTACAACTGTCTACAGATACATTCATTATTGTCATCATTTTTTATCATTCTTGTTTTCAGTCTTTTTTTCATTCTGGAAAGAAAATATTATAAACTGAACTCTGTTAGCAAAACTACAGCCTGCCTGAAGTTATTATACAAATCAAATAAACCTTAATATCTAAAAAGTTCTGAACCAATATTTGTCTAATTTAAACTTTCCACAAAATATTCAATTAAATTTTCTGACATTTTTAGTGGTTAGGATTTGAGATATTTGGAATTTACGAAAATGGACTGACTGAAATTATTATGCAGATTAACATAATATTAGCTCTTAAGAACTCTGAAATCTAACAAAATCTTTTTTTTTTGTTTATAATATATATTGAAACATGCGTAAAGGGAAGAATCTAATAACTTCTGAAAAACAGAAAATAAAAAAGTTATTAAGTGAGGTTATGTCCACATTGGAGACATTAAAGGAGCTTTGCAGAGATCATCGCATGATAAAGAAGGCTGTTGAAAATATAAGTAAGTTGAGAATAAAAGCAAAATGCTTTAAGAACTTGCTTCCTCGAGATGAACGTAAAATAAAGCGAGTTATAGCGAAACAACAACTTTTGACCTGCGTTTAGATCTTTGGAAAGGCTGGAATTGAAGGAGCCAAGGACAAAATGTGTACAACACTTTTTGAATTTGAATGTTTAAAAAGAAGTCTTAAGCAAAATTTTCTCACTAAAGGAATATTTTAATGCATCAAAACTGGGCTAAGAAATGCATGAATATTGATTTTCCTTAAAGTAATTTCATAGACGAATCTCGAGTGGCATTTGATGGACCTGATGAATGGGACAAAAGATACATTTTATCTAAGTCAGATGTGCCTGTGACTAAAAGAAGGCAACAAGGAGGAGGTGATAATGTTATGATATGGGCTGTAATTGTCGATTCAACCATTACTGGACCCTTTAAAATCGAAGGTATTAAGCCGAACCCCGCTAATTATCTTTTTGCATGCTACAAGTCCCCGCCTTGCACTTTCAAAGTGGAGTGTATATTATGCACAACAATGCTCCTTCTTACTATTTAAGCCTACACGTGAATTCTTTGAGCAGATTTAGAGGAGAGAAGATAATGTAATGACCACCATCAAATCCTGATCTGAATCCGATCGAAAATCCATGGTCATTTGCGAAGATGAAATTATGTGAAGATGGAAAATAATATAATAGCAAAACAGACGTATGGAAAGAAATTAAACTAACATGTCGGAAATTGAACCTGCTGAAGAAAAAAAAATTGCAATATCAATGGTTAATAGATTAATGGCTGTTATTGAAAAGAATGTTCACTATATTAAGATGTAAAATCTTCAAAGTTTTAATATATATATGTGTTATTTGTTCTATTATAGGTGCTGATTTTATTAGCTTGTTATTGACGTAAAAATTGATTTTCTGGTTTTGAACAACAACTTCAAATTACATCTTTTATAATAAATACAAAAACTTTCATAAAACATGTATAAACTACGTAAAAAATGAAACTCATGCTTTGTTTTGATATCTAAATAAATGTTTTTACTTTGTAAAAGTTTCAAAGATTTATCATACGTGTTTGTTGTTTTTTATCTTATAAGTGTTGATCAATTTTTCTTTTTATTGAAGTAAAATGTGATTTGGTTTTGCTTAATAAATTCAGATACATCAAATACCATCAACACGTCAAATAACTTGAATAAAACGTATTGACACTACCTAGAATTTTAACTCAGGCTTTGTTTTTTTTTTTTGATATCTAAATTGATTGTTTAAAATTTGACAAAGTTTTTTAACCAAATTTAAATTCAGTTTATCTTATTTGCTTAATAACTTCGGAAAGTTTGTATATCTATCAAGAAAATGTGTTAGAACTTATACATGGATAAAACCACCTGCATACGGATAGAAAATTAATTGAATTGCTACACGAATATAGAAAGTGATTAAGGCATGTGTATCTAGTGCCTGTCTTTTTCTGCATCTACAACGAGGGAGACCCTACCAAGATTTATCATCAGTCGAAGTTATTAACAATATATTAAGACATTGTATTAATGGTAGACAGAGAAGATAAATGAGAGAATATTCTAAGGAAGTGAATGAAAGCGAGAAGAAAGGACAACACATCAATTGAAAGAGATGCAATCTATGGTCTTC